CCCCCAAAACCCCAAAACCCCAAAACCCCAAGCCAATCTGACGAGGTTGAGAACTCATAAACCCAAAAAACATTTAAAATCTACAATAATTTAGCATGAAATTACCAAATTGCCAAGGATGTCCTTGCAGATCTGAGTCCCAGTACTACCTATATAAACCAGGGAAATACGTATGTGAGAAAGCAAAGAATTTTTGAGCCCAGGGTAAACATCGAGCACAAAAATCTATTCGCCTCACATATCCTGAGAAGGTTAGCAAAATCATCATAAGAATTGACCAATGCAGGAAGGAGCTTGAAGCCTCAGTATATCAGATCCCTCAAATAAAAAATATCGGCTTCTGAGACTATGGAGAAGACCCACAGGCTCTCCCGATGAACTCTAGTCAGAGTTTTAGCAAAAATATCTGATCCGACGAAAGCTCATCTTTACTACCCCAACAGGAAATATCAGAACTTAAAAGCCTTGCTTTCTTAATCAAAGAACAAACCGAAGAAATGAGCTTTCATTTGAAACAAGCTGTTACCGACAAGAAGTACTACATCTTCGCTCATATCTTAGCGGAAGCCCTTCAACTAGAACAAATGATAAGCAGTGATAAAATTTTCATAAACTACTCACTCCAAAAGACATGGAAGGAAGCAGATGACGTCTTGAACGGAAAAACAGAAGAAAGCACAGCTCTAATGACCATGAAGGCTAATCAGAGATACACTGACTTACTTTCAAATACTATAAAACGGAATAGCCTAAGAATGAAATAAAGTAAAACATGACCATCAGGAGAAAGTTGAACAACTAGAGAGGGAGAATATTAAGCTTTATGCCCAATTAAAAAAGCTTGCAAAAAGTGAAAGAAATCTAATGAAGAAACTAGACGAAAGAGACCGGGAGATAACCAATCTAAAAGATACAAACATGAGGTTTAATCACAAACTCAATAGAGCACTCAATGCTAATGAAGAGCTGCAAAATAAAGTATCTGAATCTGACTACAAACTTCAACAAAAAAGAGATGAATTTATGAAAGACATAGAGCAAACTAACCAAATCCATCAAAACGAAAAGGAACACTTGGAACAAAGATTGTATGAGCAAATCCAACAAACTGAACATAAAGATGAAGAGCTTAAAAATACAAAAGAGATTATACCCGTTTTAGAGCAAGAAAACATGAATATGATATGAACAATTGAGAGACTTTCTGTAAGTAGCCAAGCCCTTGCCTAAACATTAACAGTTTTCATTGCTCTCACAAATTCGATCTTCCATGCTTCATCGAATTTGCTAAAACCAAATTTTTGTTGCTCAAGATATCACAAAATTTTTAACTGTAAAGACATATCCTTAAAAATTAGGATGTATCCTACAAAACAAACATTTTTGTCATCTTCTCTCACATTTCTAAAATATAGGCTCAGACAAAAAGCTTGACGATGGAGGAATTCAACACTCTCTCCAGAAACATTACAGGATCAAATTACATGACTCCTTCTTCTAAAAATCCCTATCTAATATTTGATTTAGAGCAAGATAAAGACACATGCTTATTATACTCAATAGACCAGAGACTTCCAAATCTTAGCCAACTCTGGTTAAAGTTTATTCTCTGAGAAAATGAAGGATTGAAAACTTTCATGAAATACTACTTCCCGAATAGTGTCGAAAGGTTCATTTTCGAAGGCGGATCTGGAATCTGGGCGAACCTTGATGAATATATTGGTCTCCTGATTGACATCTCCTCCAAAGTTACACAAGAATTCCAATTAAGAGATTTTGAAATCAGCCAGAGAAATTTGCAAAGAATCCTTACAGCCAATCTTTGAAAAAAGAAAGTAGGATTCACCAACTGTGTACTGAGTTTGGATTCAGTCCCAGACTTTAAGGAAACCTTATTTGGAAGCTTACTAGAGGTATTAGATTTAACTGGATGTCAAACCAAAAGCTCAGGAGACTGGAGTGATAATCTAGAAGCTTTGTGTAACTTGGCTAATGGCCTCTCACAGATAGAGAACCAAGGAACTGGCATACTCACAATCATTGTAAAAGACTGGGGGTTCTCAAAGCATGACCTTAATATTATGAATAATCAGTATAAAGCTAACAGTATCCAAATAGCCCTCGAGAACCCCATCCAAGATTTCCCAACCTCCCCAACAAAGATAGGCATCAAGATCCGCTCCAAGAGACACCCCAAGAGTCTTTCCAAGAACCCCTCCACCAATTTTCTTCCCAAAAGCCGCAAATACTAAACTTCCCATTCAATCAATTACCCATCTAACCCCCGGGGTTTTGGGGTTTTGGGGTTTTGGGG